CTTTTCAGATTGTCTCCTGTTTGCCCCAAATGCTATTCCTTCCCCTAGGCATGAGCCACTAATATTTTGACCTTGAAATGTCTCTCCAGGCTGACATCTTTGCTTTGGAGAGTTCCAAATTAGGCAAAATAAAAGCAAGGTATTTGAACCAGTCCTTCAGGGAGCAACCTCACGAATCAAAATAAACGTACTTCTTGAGAATAAGGTCTAATCTGCTACCTTCAGTGACAGGAACCTATACAGGGAATAAAGGATATTGTTTCTGATGCTGCTGCCATGCTAGGGAGGGGGATGGGGCCAGGGCAAGCTAAAACCCAACAAAGCTCTCTTACTAAATTCAGCTTTTATACTTAAGTATTCACCTGATTGCTGTCAACTTTCAATGAGTTTCCAGAGTTCCCATAAGTTTGTTTCTGAGTTCTTGCCACCTTATTTGCTGCTTTTGTGGAAGGACAGACTTGTGGAATTTCTTACTCCATTTTCGTTGGCCACATTAAAGTTTTAGAAGCTCTCTTTTAGTCTACCCCTCATTTCGTAAAGACCCAAAGAGGGGAAGTGACTTATCCAGGGTCACACAACAAAGCAGTGGCTGAGCTGAGATTAGAATAAAGACGCTTGACTCAGGCCAGAGCTCTTTCTGCTTCAGGACTTCATCCGCTCTCGGTGTTGAAAAGGAGTCAGGCTCAGGCTAAACGCCAATATTAGGCCAAGGGGCAGCTTTCCAAAGAGTAGGGGCTGAGGGTGAGAGTCCTTGGTATACCTGGTGGGCTTGACTGACTCTTTTACTAAGAGGGGACCCTCTATGAGACCAGGTTGGAGACTGAGTAATGATGTCCCTGTCTTTTAGAAAAATACAGGCAGAGAGCTTTCAGACTTGATGGGGGTGAAGACATAAACATTTATCTGTCTGAGGACAAGTATTTAGCTTGATCTGTTTCTAGGTCTCATTCCACTCCATTATCAGCCAGGGCAGTAAAGAGCCTACAGCAGAAATAAGGGACCAGGTCCTAAGCAAGGACTGTAATTCCCTAGAAGATGGGCACGGTGTGGCATTAAACCCCCACTTTGACTGTGGGCACTGCGAAGATTCATCTTTCAGCTACCTCTTCCCAAAGCTAGGGTGCCTCATCACCTGACTGAATTCCAAGCAGAGAAACACCTCGCCTTTTGGGGAGTTCTCTGTGTCAGAACAGCAGTATTTAGACCAGCATTAGATTACAGCAGGTTACAGATGCAGTTTCCCAGCCCCCACACCCCCTTGGAATGTGTGAGGGTCTGACCCCAGAACCTGCTCTTTAGCAAGCTCCCCTAATGGTCCTGATGCACACTCAGGCTTGAAAACCACCACTTCAGGACCTTCTACCCAGCCACAGGGTGAGCACTCCAAGGTTCCTTTCTTAAAATTTTGCACCTGAGACAAATGCCACCAGGACTAGTGTAAAGCGAGTGGGGCCATTTGTCTCAGGTGCAAAGCTTAACTAATAGTGTTTCTTCCGCCCCCACAGCTGCTGCAAATTCTCCCAGGGTTGAATTCATCTGGTGCTTTGTCCTCTACTTGCTATTTTAGAAGTCAGATTAGACACGGAGCACGGACTGGCCTTGGCTAACATATTCAGGAGGCAGGAAAAGACCCATTGTGTTCTGTCCCAGAAAGATGGCCTGTAAGGTTGCACGCCTATCTTCATTGTCCTAAGCATAACAGTGTTGATCCCACACCCCACTGACCTTGGAAGGCAGTAGGTGCCTTTGCCTCTGGGAAGATCATAAGGCATTCATGCAGTCGTCCAGCCCATACTTAACATGGGTTGGATCCCTTGGGAGGGACCATGAGGGCAACCAGAGGGACAGGAAAACAAGGAGAACAAGGACTGGGACAAACACAGGTGTCAGGTCCATGCCTAGGCCAATTGTCATGCCCAGAGTCAGGTTCCAGCCCATGCTGAGGTTCGAGGGGAGTGGGTGGATGGGCGATAGCTGAAGGAACATCTGGCAGGCCATAGGCAGGTAAAATGTAGCTTTATTCAGCAGTGATCTTATCAGCAGCTCTCTCACACTGTCTGCCTTTTTCTCAGCTGTGCACTCCAGCTCTGCAGCTCCTGCTGCCGCCATGCTTGCAGCTGCACTCCCTGGCCTGCAAGGCCAGCTACAGGATCAGCAGCTTAACTCTTTCCCTCTGGGCACAAGCCGAGCTGTGTCCTGGCTCCTCTCTGTCCATCTGCCAGATGGTCACTCTCCCTTACAGGGGTTGGTAGCTTCACTCTCTCTCTCTGGGTGCCAGTGCACACCATGTGGAGCCATGCCAATTCGAGCCCAAGAACATCTGTATAGCGTCAGCAGGGCAGTTATACCTTTTCCAAACAATAGGGGCTTCAAGCCAAATATGAACTTACACAAACAGGTTATATAACGAGTGGAGTATGCACCTGCGACCTAAACTCGCTGAGTCGCTCTGGCCTGGATGTCCGCCCCGGTCTATTCCTTGACCAAAGCACATCCATGTACCTTACAATAGGTGATCCCCAAGTGTGTAGACAAGGGTCTCAAACCTAAGGGCCTGCAGGGGCCACAGGGGTAACACTGGCTCGGTGTAATACAAGAGGAAGTGGTGGAGCCTATAGCAAATAAAAAGTACAGGCCCAAAGCGGCAGCTGCAACTCAGCTCCAGCCATGCAGGAATGTAAGCCCCGTGGCGCCAGAATTTGAGTTTTCAAGAGAAGCCAGAATTCCAGATTTTTAAAAATATAAATTTCTCAATGATTAAATGTTGGCAACAAATTCAAACGTCTATAAACACTCTTTGGGAACTAACGTAAATGTATCTGTAGGTGCAATATTGCCTGCTAGGCACGAGGCTGGGAACTTCGGTGTAACCAGGGCGAGGCAATGTCACAGAACATGGTCACATCAGAGCACATTGGTTCTAGGCCCTGTCACAACTCAGGAGGCCATGAGCATCACCTTGAGTTCACGGCAAGTTGTGTAATGCCAAGCAGCCCATCCCATCAGGCAGGTCCCACCTGGCACCCAAGGGCAAGGGGCCCCCCCAGCAGAGGAGTTCTTGGGAGACCAGCAGGGATGGGGTTTCAGCTTGGGCTTCAGGCATGGACTCTGATGCAGAGCCATGTTGACCAGGACCTGGTATCAATCTCAGTGCCCACACCAGCCTTTGGCTTGGGAGGGCAGGTCTAGGTAGACTAGGTTAGTTCTCAGCTCGTGCCTGCCCCACACCCTTTGGGTGTCATTCTTCCTCTGTGTTTAGGGGGCAGTCTTCACGCAAATGTCTGCAGATGAGCCACTCAGTGGCGTTCCTGGCAGGACTCAGCAGGCTTGATCTAGCCTAGTCTCTCTGAATTCTCTCATTTCTTTTTCTTTTTTTCTCATTTGAGACAGGGTCTCGTTCTGTTGTCCAGGCGGGAGTGCAGTGGTATAATCACAGGTCACTACTGCCTTGATTTCTTGGGCTCTAGCAATCTTCCTGCCTCAGCCTCCACAGTAGCTGACTACAGGGAATGCACCTCCATGCCCAGGTAAATTTTTTTCTTTTTCTTTGAGATGGAGTCTCATTCTATTGCCCAGGGTGAAGTGAAGTGGCATGATCTCAGCTCACTGCAACCTCTGCCTTCTGGGTTCAAGCAATTCTCTTGCTTCAGCTTCCTGAGTAGCTGGGATTACAGGGATGTGCCACCATGCCTAGCTAGTTTTTGTATTTTTAGTAGACAGGGTTTCACCATATTGGCTGGGCAGGGTCTCAAACTCCTGACATCAGGTGATCTGCCTGCCTTGCCTACCAAAGTGCTGGGATTACAGGCATGAGCCACCACACCTGGCCAAAGGATTTAGTAGAGACAGGGGTCTCACTATGTTGGCCAGGCTAGTCTTAAACTCCTGAGCTCAAGCGATCCTCTTGCCTTGGCTTTCCAAAGTACTTGGATTATAGGCATGAGCCATGTCTAGCTAGTCCTCTCTTTTTTAAACTTCAACACAGGAGGTTGGAAAGGGAGTGGAGACCCCGGATGCAGGGCAAGCTCTAGCTTCTGGAGCTTTCACCATAATTCTTAGAAACTCTTATGAATTCTCTGTCTTCACACCACCAACCAAGGGGCACAGGGTTCCCAGAGACCAGGGCCCGGAGCCCCTTTCAGCCTAGAAGCACACTGATGGGAGGCACTGGTCTTGTGACTGTCTGGTTTGTTCCCATCCTTCTCTCTGCCCCCGACCAAGGCGCATCAGGAATTAGCATATACCCTTCCTCCCACCCGGGACCTGGGTGAAGAACTACATTCCTCCCACCACACCTTCAGTGCACTTCACTGCACCTGCACCCAACCAAGACCCCTTTGCCTTTCCGGTTTCTGGGCCCCCTGCCTGGATTTCGGGAGCCTCCCTTCCCATGTCCTTACAGCCCAGTCCCCAAAAACCAGCATAAGCTCACGGTTTCCTGTGCACAAATTTCTACCTAAGGTTACGTGCATTTTCACTGGCTGATAAGATCAGAACTCTGAGCCACAGGGCAGAATCAAGCAGAAGAAAACAAGCTGGTACCAGAAAGACATTTCCAGAACATTCCAGAGCTGGCTGACTTTTCATGTGGAAACAAGTTTTGGCTACAGACATTCAGGTTTAAGGCACATTCCACAAATTACAAGCAGCCCTGTCACTAATAGGGAACTGGCTTTGTTCTCATGGCTTCTGCATGGAAGATGGAAAGAATGACTTTCTGGCCCCCCCTTTTTTTTTCTAAAAAGGAGTGAGTTTGGCAATAACAAAGCTGGTGACACACTCACCAGACACACAGGCACGCCTCCCTTTTGTTCCTCAGTGAGGACACGGCGCTTCACCACCCAGTCACCCTCACTAGCAATGTGTACACAGCAAACACATTTGTGTTTGTATGTGTCTGTCTGGCAATGATTGTAAGAAAAGAAAATATGCCTCCAAATAAAAATATACAATTACATGACGAAATGAAGCCAAGTCTTAGCCACAGCAAAAGGGAACGATTGCATGAGTCAGAAAAATGAAACGTCTACTTCAGCAGCAAGAGGCTGTGAGGGATGGGGTAGAAAAGGCATCCTGAGAGAGTTCTAGACCGACCCAGGTCCTGTGGCACAACATATGGGTGAGGGGGTGGAGGACAGGCCTGGGCTCTAGGATGGTGCATCTCAGGGCTATTTGTGGATTTGTTAGAAACAGACATTCTTTTGGCCTTTTCCTGGCACCGCTGTTGCCGGCACATGGGCAGAAGTGAGCCACCAGTCACTGTTCAGTCATTGCCACCACAGATCTTCAGCAGAATCTTCCGGTAATCCCCTGAAGTATCTCCCTGGCCACAGAAACAAGGAAGATATTCGTTAAGGGAGGCATGGTTGCTTGTAGCCTCTGGCTCCTGATTTTCTGCCCTGAGTGCCCTTATAGGGAGGAAGCCCCGTCCTGGGAAATTTTCCCCCGCTTCAGGTCCTGGAGCAGGCGCAACAGATCTTAGATAACGCAGTTTCACTTTCCCCAGGTCCCCATTAGAAGATGGAAAGCTGCACTCACCCCAACTATCCAAGTCAAATGAATACCCACAAAAAAAATTATAATCGTCCTAAAAACCACTTCCCAGGGCTAACCAATACTGCTTTTCCCAGTGCATTTATGCTGCCTTAAATTGCGGTTACCAGTTTAATGCAACAGTCTTCTGCTCAGGAAACGCAACCTCCTCACACATGACTGTCCAGTGAAGGGCTCCAGCCTCCCAGGTCCCATGGATCTCTCCTCTGTCTGAGGCCACTGCACTTACTCTAAGAGTGCAGGCTCAGCTTGGCTCATTTCTAATCATTTCCTTCCACCCTAAGCAACTTGAGAGCAAGGCATGTGGCTTCTTCCAGATGTCCACAGCCCGCTGGCATGCAGGAGATACTCTGTAAAGAATTACTAATTCTCTTTTGTTTTTTGTTTTTGGTGATAAAGTCTCAGTCTGTTGCCCAGGCTAGAGTGCAATAGAACAATCCAAGCTCAATAAATCTCCGCCTCCCAGGTTCAAGCAATCCTCCTGCCTCAGCCTCCCAAGTAGCTGGGATTACAGGCATGCTCCACTATGCCCAGCTAATTTTGTATTTTTAGTAGAGAGTGTTTCTCCATGTTGGCCAAGCTGGTCTCGAACTCATGACCTCAAGTGATCCACCCACCTCGGCCTCCCAAAGTGCTGGGATTACAGGCATGAGCCACTGTGCCCGGCCTAGAATTACTAATTCTCTAGCAACAGCTTCATTCATACAGCCAGGGAAAGGAAGTGAACTTCTCGTGATGACATGCCCACCATCATCAAATGCTACTGAGTCTAAGGTGGGGATGTGGTCCCATGGTGCAATTTCAAGGCTTATGTGAGTTCAGAATTTGAGTGCGGGGGCAACAGCAAGGTCATGACCCACCTGCCCTCAGAAGCTTATAATCTGTTTAGGGGCAATGGGATAAGCAAGTCTGAGATCCACAAACAAGATGCCCATACACGGTACAGGGGCCAAGCATATGGCCACTTCAAGGAGGAAAGGTCCGCAGGTGACTGGGATGCCAAAAGGAAGCCCAGTCTGGCTGTAGCAGGCCCGTACCGAGATGTCGTGGTACAGCGACTTGCCATACATCCGCTTATACTCCGATCTGATGTCCAGGAGGTTGGTCTCGCTGTGAGACACCATGATGCGAATGGTCCTTTGTTCCTGCCCCCTAAAGAGAGTCCACCCAAGAGCATGAGCATCAGGCTTCCCACCCGCCCTGGGCCCTCCAGTCAGTCCCCTCCCAACCCAAGTCCTCAGAACTCTCGGCTGAGATTTAGCTCTCCCCAGGCCTACTACCCTCAGCCCTTGGCAAAGGCGAGGCTAAGGCATCCGGATCTACATATGCAAGTTACATACCCTCATGGCCTTGTTAAGCCTCTCCGCAAAGAAGGCTGGGGTATTCTTGAGACATTTCACTAGAAGAGAGAAACACGGCATAACCAGATCTGCAGAAAATTCTCAGCCCAAGCCAGGCATGGAGTCTACAAGTGTCCTCTTAGAGGCCCAGATGTCAAACCCATCACTGCATCCATCTTTTCTCCTCCCCCTCCTGTTCCAGGCTCAACTATCCTACGATCTTGGCTCCAGTTCTTTGGAACAGTAACACGCAGAAACAGGATACCAACCCACCCTCTTTCCTGGCAACCACTGTGGTGAAAAAGCAAGAGCCAGAGGGGAGGGGATCTTTGTGAGGCTAGGAGCTGCGCAGGGAAGCCATGTGGATGGTGATGAGGAACTGTGTTGCTGCTCAGGCAGGAGGGGCAGACTGGAGAGGCTGTGCCCTTCATGGAGAAACCGTGCTGAGTGGAATGAGCATCTCCCTTGGCTGCCCAGGCCACGAGACCTACTGTGGGGGCAGGCAGGGAAAGGAGGATTTTCCATCTCTCCCATCCAGAAAGTTTCAAAAAAAGCATAATGAAAAAAGGCCAGACTGATTTTCCCAAGTGAGTAAAAAGAGGGGTTGTGAGGGCCTCAGGGCAGGGACCTGACTCTGCATAGCAGGGAGGGACCTGGAGCCCGCCAGGCCCTGCTGGAGGACACAGGCTGTGTAAGAGGCACACTACCACCTCTGAGCCAAGCCAGCTTTCCTCAGCATGGGCCTGTTTCGCTGTTGCAAGTAAAAATCTTTCCACGTGTTTCTATCACAAACATCTGACAACTGTCTGCAGGGATGTATTTTTAGAGGAAACTTGGCAGGAGTCATGCTCCTCCAGGAGTGCTGCTGGATGCCCTCCCACTAATACCCACACTGCAGTTCCCTTCTCTAGGGCTGTACCACAAACACAAACAAGACGCCTCCGGGACAGCGAAGGGTTCCACTGTATAGGGAAGTGGCATGACTTCCCAGCATCTGGACACTCTGGGTTGAGCAATCTTGGCTCCTGTGGTCCTTTCACAATGTCACCCCTCAGCTAGTGGACAGGCGAGCACCCTGAACACTCACAATACACGTTAGTCCCTGGCGGGAGGGCAGGCAAGCCCGAGACACTTACCCACGGCCAGTATGCCCTACTCCAGGTCCCCGGACATCTCCCGGAAGATGCTCTTCTCAATGTCCTGGCCTGTCATTCTCTGGTACTCATTGAAAACTAGGGGGATGACATACAGAGGCTTATATTATGAACTGAAATGTATCTCCCCGAAGTTCATATGTGGAAGTCCCAACTCCCAGGACCTCAGACTATAACCGTATTTGGAGACAAGATCTTTAAAGAGGTAATTAAGTTAAAACATGCTGCTAGGGTGTGCCCTGATCCAATCTGCCTGGCCTCCTTAGGAGAAGAGGAAGTTAGGAGACACACAGAGACCCCAGGGATGTGCGTGTGCAGAGGAAAGACCTTGTGAGCACAGTGAGAGCCACGAAGAGGCGGCAGGAGAAACCGGTGCCGCTCTTGGACATCCAGCCTTCAGAATGTAAGAAAATGAATGTCTGTTGCTTAAGCCACCCAGTCTGTGGTATTCTCTCATGGCAGCATGAGCAGGTTAACAGAGGACTAACAGGAGGTGGCCTCTGCCCTAAGACCCCCCCGCCTCCCACTCTGCTCCCACACCCTGCATGGCCCCAGGCCTGCCCAGCTTTCAAGGAAGCCAGAGTCTTCATCACAAGTCATGTGTGCTGCCTGATGTCCCTCCCTGTGGTCCCCTTCTCAGGACTGCCAATCTGTTTAACCAAATCACACCTTAATTCCCCTCCAGGGCTCACTTCCATTGCACCCCAACACAGTGTCCCCTCTTCTCAAACCCCCCACACCTCCAGTCTCTGCCATGCCTTGGCCTTATTCATGCATCTGTGTCTTCCTCAACCTGCCTGTGAGCTGAGGCCCAGCCTGGCCCAGACAGCCTGGCTTTTTGCTGCCCACCCCTGCCAGTCCAGCTCAACCTAGGACATGCTAAGCACCCATGGGAGTGGACGGCTGACTCCTAAAGAGGCAGGCGGCATGATGGAGACCTGGGTCCTGGGTCCAGCTCTGACGCAGGACATAAAACTTTCCTTCCTCAGCCTGAGTGTCAGCTTCTATATGCATACTAAAGTCGTGATTTCTGCTCTGTTTCTTTCTCAATTAATATCTCTTCAAATCAGCTCTGCAGTTCCAGAGCCACAGAAACCTTTGACAACCCACAGCTCCCTTACCTTCCACATCCAGCCCAGACCTCTCCTGACCTCCACGCACAGCAACCCAGAAGCCTCCCGGTAGCTCCACCCTACAAGCACCTATAGCCAGCTGCACCTACGGCTCCCCTATCTCAATTGAGGGCCACTGCATTCTCCCACCGCTTGGCCTAAAGAAACCCTATGTAATCCTCAACACCTTTCTCTCCCACATGCCACGTTTCCAATTCATCAGCAAACAGGGCTAGAACATGATACCCGCTCACCACAAGCCCCTACCGCCATTGTTCCTCCCCTGGGCCCCCCTGAGCAGGCTTCGCTGCTCGGCCATGCACCCTTCCCTCCATTCTCAGCACCGCAGCCAGGGATTCTGCACAGCCTCCTCTGCTCAGGGCCCTCCAGTGGCTTCCTGTTTTGCTCAGGATAAATACCCAATTTGGGGAAGTCATCAGCAGGGCCCTCTCTCCTCTCACTCACTCCATCTGCTCCACACAGTCCCCCTTCACTTTCTCAGTCGTGCTGGGAGCCCTGGGCAGATTCTGTGCCTGCGTCTCCTTTAGGTTTTTAAATCAAATGTCATAAACTCAGTGAGGACTGGCCAAGAACCTCCTGGTGGATCCTACCATCACTCCCTACTGGTTTCCAGCTTTATTTTCCTCTACAGGATTTATCATCTGATACAGATTTTATTTCATTGTTTACTGTCTGTCTCCTCAAATGAGAAGGTGCAGCCCATGGAACAGACTCTGCAGTGCCCTGCCCCTCATCATGTCTCCACACCTGCTCCACTGCCTGACCTGACGTACTGGCCCATGGGGGAGCATGATTTACATTTGTTGAATGAATGAGTAAATGAATGGCACCCAGTATTACTGCCATGACTGTTTCTTATGCCAGGCCTTGAAAACACTGGATTGGGTGCTCCCAAAGGATTCTCCCGGCTCTAACAGTCCACATTCCTGTGTATGAAGATACCAGGTTTCCACACCAAGTGGAACCTCCAGAACTGGATGCTTGCCAGAACTCAGGAAATCCTCTATCTTTTAAATCCCCACCGGGGGGCTCTTCTAAGGAGGCAAAAGCCCTATGCAGGGAGGAACCACCAAGTGTTCCCACAGCTTTGTCTCCCCGCAATGCCCTGACTGCCCTCATCTAACTGGCCCCAGAGGGATCCAGCCTGGCTTACCTGCCACCAGGTGGGCCCGGCTCCGGGAGACAGTACTGCACTGAATTTGGACTCATCTGTTCCCAGGCGGTTCTCCCCAGCCGCATACAGCTCCTGGAGAGAGAAGAAGATTCACAGGCGGCACAGGCCACACCCAGACCCCAGGCCCAGGTCACCCAGGAGAGCTTGGTAAACTTCTGAAGGTTTGAGCCTAAAGTATTTGCCAATTTGCAACCTCTGAACTAGACAGCCTCTAAAGTGCCTGCTAGACCTCAGGTAGCAGCCCTGAAGAAAAGCAGAAAGCAGCAATCAGGGGCTGAGATCCCACAAGTCAAGATGAGGCCATAGCAGGTCTGGACTGAGAAGGCAGAGCCTGAGACAATTTTCACACCACTAGAAGTGGCATGCAAAACTCACTGGAGCAAGAGCCAGAGCTCCAGGGGTGTCCAGCCCTGAGTGCAGAATAGGAATGGATGTCCCCAGCCAGAGAGACACTGAATACAGTAGACCCTACAGGAGCAGCAGGTCTGAGCCTAGGACAGAAGCAGGTGCTAACTGGGCACAGAGGACTGAGCCAGGGATGTCTGGGCTCTGCCTCTAGCTTTCAGTTGGGAACAGTGCTCAACCTTTTTGAGCCTCCGTTTCCTCATCTGGAAAGCAAAAGGACCAGACTAGAGGAGTAGCTCTCCACCAGCCCTAACAAGGGGGCATTCCTTCAGGTCTTGTACCAATCCAGCAGATGGTAGAGATAATCAGACTGCTGGCAGCTCCTGGTGAGTGTCCTGCCATGGGTGGTAGGAACAGTGAAGGGGGACAGAGAGGTATGGCCAACTCCACTGCACCAGGAAGTCACTGCTCTGCCCTGCCATGATACTATGGTCCAAATTCATTAGTGGGAAACCCAAACTTTTCTAGAGAGCAGCTCAAATGCCTGGACTCTTTCCCTTTTGTCTGCAACTCACAAGGGTGACAAGGACAGAATTCTAAGGCTGCTCAACTAATGTAGCAGCTGGTTTCCAGGCTCAAACCCTCAAAAACTTAACAAGCAAGTGCAAATTCTGCGCCTTTGTAAACATAATGGTATGCGCAACTAAACATGGGGAAGGTGTGCAGTCACATGAGATCCCACATCCAGAACTGGCATCTATCAACTACTGAAAAACTTACTCTCCCACATGTTCCCCACTCCAGGTGGGGAAACTGAAGCCCAGGCAGACAGGTGATCTGCTCGAGGTCACACAGCTGAGCAGTAGCCCAGCACGTCTGAAACTCGCAGCGTATCTACTGTTCTTTCCACCCTAGAGCACCTCTCTCAGGAAGCAAGAAAGCGGGGTACAGCCCTGCTTTAGAAAGCCCAGGGGCTTGGTCACTACACTCACCTGGGCATCTCTCTGGACCAGGGTCATGTCCACGTTTGTGCTTTCATCACGGTTTCCCTGAAAGGAAGCAGGTGTATGGTCAAGCCTACTCCTTCCCCATTTCTTTTCTCTCCCTTCATGCTGGGATCCTACCTCTTTGAACTCCATCACTTGGGGGCCCCCAGCCCTGTCATGGGAAAAGTACCTGAGAGAGAGAGATGAGGAGCCGCCGGAAGTACCCTGACATGTCACTTTGAATGGCCTCTTCCAGTGTCTTTTTGAATTCTGAAAAAAAGAAGCAAGGAAGGTCTACTCTGTAGCTCTGTTTATGGAGCTGCCCATTGTAAACACTATCAATAGCGGGCACTGGGGAGAAAAAGGCTGGGGGTCTCGGGCTTGAGGGAACAAATAGCCCATATGGCCCTCCAGGGACATACAAGCCTGTGACCTCCAGGCTGACCTGGCCTCTAGTGAGCCTTGGCCCAGACCACATGCAGGTTTTCCCTGGCCCTCCCTTACTTTAGTCATCTGCACCATGTACAAACAGCGGGAAGGGCCAGGTCTTGGCTCAAGGCCCAATGTGTATGGGGTGGCAGGAGATGGGGTGATAAGATGACCAGAAAGGAGTAAGAGGCCCTGGGAGAGAGTGAGGCCACAGCCCCGAGAGCACAGGGATCTGCAGAGGGCAGAGGGCAGAGGGCAGAGGGAGCAGCCCCACCTGCTTTGTAGGCTCTGTTTAATTCCCGGATGTGCTCGTTGCTGCGGGAAGCAAGGATCTCAATCAGGCAGGCTTCATCAGTGCCGACCCCCTGCAGGGGCAGAGAACACAACCAACCGTGCGCTTGTTCCAGCAGCCTCACCAGCACCCAGGAAGGAGAGCGGGGGCCACGCTGCTGCCCTGACCCCAGGGACAAACCCCAGCAACAGAGGCCCTGACGCAGAGACACACCCTCCAGCCACTCCCAGGCTTGAGGGAGTCAGCTCCTCTGCACAGCCCAGGCAAGCACAGTGACAGTTCAGTGGTGATAAGCAGGGCTCACACAAAGGAGCATCCACGTGGATCAGAAAACTGAGTATCAGAGAGGGGTACTTCCTGGTCCAAGGCCACACAGTAAATGGGTAGGTTAAAATGTGGACCGAGGCCTGCTTTATTCAGGGTGCAGCCGAAAGTTAGATGACAACAACTGAAAAAAACGGGTAAAAAGTCAGAGAGATCCAAGTAGACACATGGAAAATCCAGTCCTAGAGCGGGTGGCGGAATGTCTGGAAACAACTAGGAAAAGGCAGGGACAACGAGGATGAATGGGACAACCATGGCAGGACAGTGAGAAGGCAGAGGACAGGCTGAGCAGCCTGGCTTGTATGTTAGTTTGAATCCTGGCCCTGCGGCTTACTAACTGTGTGACCTCGGGCACGTTACTTAACCTCTCTGTGCTTCCAATTCCTTGTCTGTAAGACGGAAGTGATACTGGGACCTACCTCCCAGGGAAGTCATGAGGATTAAGTGAGTTACTGTATGTAGAGCACTTAGGGCCTGTCAGGCAGGACGTGCGGCATTTTGTCAGCCGTTTCCCGCTGCAGCTACTGTTAGGTTACTACATGTTAGTACATGTTAGCCCCTCACCCAGTAGTCCCAGCATGTCCTGAGACAGCATCCACTGTCCCCATTTCACAGGTGCTCCAGGACACACAGCTGGTGAGTGACAGCTGCCCAAACCTGTGGTTTCTAACACTCCCCAATCACTAGCTCATGACTCTGGCTGAAGACGGGGGCCAGGCAGATGTCTGGGAGCCACTCCCTGGGGCCCCAGGCCATCCCCCTGCCCAGTCACCTCCTGACCCCCTCCCTAGAATAACACATGTAGACGTGTCTCAGTGGAGACCTCTCTCCTTTCCAGGCCACCACACTTAAGTCTCTGCTTCTCCTGGGGAGGGAACAGTCACTGTGCTTATCAGGCCTCTGAGTGACAGGCTCCTCCTGGGCTCCTGCCTGACTCATGGGATTACCCTTCCAAGGGAGCCGCTAGGCCCTACCTGCAGGGTGCACACAGAGCTGTGGGACTGCACAGAATGGACAGGACCCACCCCTCGGTCAAAACCTGTGGTTTCTAACACTCCCCAATCAGGCCTTAAGGAAACAGTGAGCCCAAGCCGTGCCCATCTGAATCGGCCCCTGTTCTAGAGCTGGATCTCATAGGTATGTGGGGAGTGGTTGACAGGCACCCTCTACAAGCAGCCATGGCAGGAGAAGCACAGAAACGGACAGAAGAGCGGACGCTCAGGAGAAGCAGAGACCAGAGAGACATCTGGCCTGGCCCTCTCCATGCCAGGCAGCTTGGCTTTACCTACATAACTGATTTCCCACCTTCATTCTGCTTAAACCGAAGTGTGTTTCTGTCATTTGCTAGTAACAGAGTCCTAAAGATGAGAACAATACCAGCCATGGCCTCCTAACCCTCTTCTTATCAGAGTCACTACCTTTAAACCCCAGCTCCACCATTTCTTTAAGATGGAGAGAGACTTAAGGCTCCCTGATAATGACGGCTGCATCATTTGCCTCTTGGGGAAATCGAAGGGAGTTCCCCTTTCTACAGTACGCAGACTCCAACCCAGGAGGGCCTGGTAGTCATACTGACAGCAGCAGCTAATGAGTGGGCTAGAACACAGCGCACTGTCCAGGCCTCCTTCTGGGCTGTGTCCACACACATGAACACACGCACGCACACACACACACACGTACACACCTTGATGGCTTCCTTTATCTCATAAACGTCAAAAACGACTGGGGTCTTCATCAGAGCCAAGATTGTCTTCTCAAAGTTTCCTCATGGTTCAGATTTCAGATCTTTGATCAAATCCTGATTGGATATTTGAATAAAAAACATAACCGAAAACAAGTCTATGTTTAAAATCCACAGGAGGTGACTAATAAGAGCCATATCCCAGATCCGAGGACCAGCAGCATGGACATCCCCCAGGGGCCGCAGATCTCCCAAGTCGGAGACCACTTTTTACCAAGATGCCCAGGGAATCCGTGGCACATTGAAGTATCAGAGGCACTGGACTAGGACACAAATCTAATCAATAGTCACCCAATTTTTACCTTTCTAAGATTCAAAACCCCAGAAGTTCAAAATACACTCATACACACTCCCTGCACTTGGGCAGCACTCACGGCCTTTTCCTGCAAAGCTCTTGTAACAGCTAAACCTCCCAGGGTGATCATGAAGAGGGCAGGGGAGGGAAAATGATGTGGCCACAACCTCAATGAGTTGTGGCAGAGCCAGGGCTAGACCCCAGGGCTAGACATCTGGAGCCTCTCAGCAAACTTCGGCACCCTGTGGACTCGTTTCTCCCTCAGGGCATCCCTCACCTCCAAACGCTGCCACCAGCTCGGTGGGCAGAAGGAAATACCCTCCTGCTCCTTACTGTCCATCCAGGAGACTTGGGCCCACCCAAGGAAAAGCAGGGGTGAGCAGGGCTCTGCTGAGCCGAGGACACACCTCACTGTCCCCTGCCCCCACCCCCACCTTGCCATAAGCCGTCTTGAAGGACAGGATGATCTGCTGCCGTTGCTTGTTGGAGCGACTCCCCATCGACAGATGATGGCCTTCTCATTCGTGCCTGGAGGAAGAGGCAACAGGGGTGGCTGGGGTGGGGGTCATGAAGATGTTCTGCAGCTGAGACTTCCCTGGCCTGTGTCCCTTAACTCTTCTGGGCCTCCCAGCTGCACCCCCATATCCACCTTCTCTTTTATCACCACTGAGGCCAGGGCTGCGTCCCCTGGCTACCCCAGCCCACAGAGCCACTGTGAAACTGCCTGGGGAATGGGCAGCAGGGGTAGGATTTGAGCCACCCAGGGTCTCTCACCGAAGCCTTTCATGGCCTTCCGCAGCACCTCGGCATCTCGCAGGGGATCAAAGCCAGGAGCATCGGTGATGGTGCCTCGGTTTCCAAACTACTCAGACAAACAGTCACAGGTAAGATGACGTGCACGCCGCCTTCCCCAGATGCGAGACTGCTCCAGCCCCAGACTCTGGGAACAGCCCTCTCTCTAAGAGCTGGGGTATCTGAAGGTGCCCACAGTCAATGACGCAGAAGACTCTATTCCGAGTCTGCCTAACTTGACTGTTATCTGGCCTCCTGTTCTGGTATTGGAGCTTCTTCCTGGCTCCAGCGGCTGGGAGCCCACCTATAGCTGAGTCCTGACACTGAAAATCTGCCCGGTACCCAGGTCCTCCAGGACTGGGGCTCAGACTCCTGAGGAAGGGCAGGCCTCAGGAGCAGGGGCTGTGGCCTCTCTCATCAATGCCTGGCCTCCACAGCACATGTGAGCACACATGGGTACTCCTAACAGGGCTGGCTAGCCCACATTTCCCCTCTGGTGGATGTAGGTGCCCAGCCTCCACAACTGTGCATGGCACCCCGACAACCTCTTGATCTAGCACTGGTTCCCTGGCACTGTGCTCTAGACTACCACCTCCAGACCCTGGCAGCTCCACAACCCAGCAAACTTGAACTGGAACTTTCCAGGCTAAACTGTCTCCCAGCGGACTGTCTTCCTAGGGGCTGGTATAAACTGGTTATAACACAATTATGGGAACAGCCCAGGGAAAAGATAATGGAGAGAGTCTGGAGGATGGCTCGGGGTGGGGGAACATGTGGGTGTAGAAGGGAAGGAGGAAAGGAGACTCTCGGTCTAAAAATAGTCATCAAGCACATAACCACTACCCCTGTGCTGGCTGGTTGGGCCATATAACCAAGACGATGAATTCTAGATTCTGCAACCATGAACTGTTCTCCAAAATGAGCGAAGATCAACCCTGGAGAAACTGCCAACATTTTCCCTACCCAAAGGGAACTTTAAGAATCCTCCAAAACCTGTCTGTAGGGGTGAATATCAAGGGGACCGAAGATAGCTGTTGGGCACAAAGCCTTGAGATGTGTGGCCTGGGCAGTTCTTACAAAACACACAGCCCAGACAGTAAATGACAGAGGAATGAGGAGCACTCGCCGGGGCATTTTGACCAAACTCCCAAGTGGAGTCTCTCATCATGCTGGGAGAAACGGGACAGCTCCCTCAGGCCTTAAGCAACACAACCCAGAGGTGGGGAGGTGGGGAGTCTGCGAGAAGGTGACACTCTTTGCTTTTCTATAATTTTTTTTTTTTTTGAGACAGAGTCTCACTCGGTCACCAGGCACCAGGCTGGAGTGCAGTGGTGACATCTCGGCTCACTGCAACCTCCGCCTCCCAGATTCATGCAATTCTCCTGCCTCAGCCTCCTGAGTAGCTGGGACTACAGGTGCGTGCTACCACGCCCAGCTAATTTTTGTATTTTTAGTAGAGACGGGGTTTCACCATGTTGGCCAGGATGGTCTCGATCTCTTGACCTCGTAATCCGCCCACCTTAGCCTCCCAAAATGCTGGGATTACAGGCATAAGCCACCGCGTCTGGCCTGTTTTCTGTTTTTTTTTTTAAAGACAGGGTCTTGCTCTTTACCTAGGCTGGAGTGCAGTGGCATGATCTCGGCTCACTGCAACCTCTGTCTCCTGGGCTCAGGTGATCCTCCCACCTCAGCCTCCTGAGGCACACACCACCATGCCCAGCTAATTTTTTTCTATTTTTAGTAGATATGGGGTTTCACCATGTTACCCAGGTTGGTCTTGAACTGCTGGGCTCAAGCAGTCTGCCCACCTCAGCTTCCCAAAGTGTTGCAATAACAGGCATGAGCCACTGTACCTGGCCCACACTAAAAAAGAGGTTGCAGCTGGAGGCCTGTGCCTTTCCCTGTCTCCCCATCTACTGGGCCATGTGTCTCCAGCCTTTGGGTCCCAGGCCTGGACCGAGGGAGGCAGTAGGCTGACACTTACCTGGGTTGGGGGCACAGCGGGGGTGATGGTCCCAGACCCTGGGTATCCTGGGTAGCTTGGCACTGGCTGCTGCTGCTGCTGCCCAGGGAGTGGCATTGGAGGCTGACGGGGATAGGTCGCTGGTGGCTGCCCAGTGTAGGCCCCTGGGGGCTGCTCTCCAGGGGGTGGCATGGGCTGGCCCGGCACTGGGGCCCCTGGGTATGGCGGATATGAGGGCATCCCGGAGGGTGGGTTTCCTCCTAGGGATGGATACATCTCATAGACAGGAACAGGCTGCTGGGCAGGAGGGGGTTGCCCGAAGCCCCCAGAAGGCACTGTTGGATAGCCAGCTCCAGGGGCCCCAGGGTATAGATTGGGCATGTTGGCTCCTCCAAATGTCCCAGACATGTTGGCCGCCTGCAAGGACACAAAGTAGAGCCTGAGGCCACCAGGCCCCGCTGTACTCTGTCCCTCCACCCTTTTACATACTTTAGCCAAGTCAGTCCTCACAACGTCTCCACTTGTGGAATATGAAGTATCGTTATACCCATTTCATAGACCATAGAATGAGTTTACTTGCTCAAAGCTACACAGTCAGTAAACAATGCGGCTGGATCCAAACCAGAGATCCTCACTCCCTTCTGCAGGGGAGGTGCCTTCCCTCTCCACATAGCTGTTCATCCCATCCCAGACCACCTGGGTGAAGGTTAAGAGCTCACTGCCCAAGAAGGTGCATGGGTCCCATATGCAGGCTTGGGGCATCCCCATCACATCAGCCTGCTACCTACAGACACCTCTGGCAGGCGTACTCAGGTGAATTTGTACTCAACAGGAATAAAAGCCTAAATCCTTAGGATGGATGGCCTCCTACACCCTGCAAGAGCGGGACTCCCAGACTTCATTTCTCATCTCACACCCTCGCCTTTTCACTTTAGCCACACTGGCCTCTCTTCACTCTCCTCAAGCACCTCAGGCCCCCTGGCACCTCAGGGTACTGGAGTTGCCCAGACATCCATACAGTACTTCTTCCCCCTGCTGCAGGTCTTTGCTCAAACATCCTCTTTTCGGCAAGACCCACCCTACCACCAACTTAAAATCATCATCCCTGCACCACCCCCACCCTGCCCCCACTGCTGACCCCTTTACCCTGCGCCTCTTGTTCCCATGGCACCTACACTTTCAGTAACCTCACATCACTGACTTAAGTTACTGCCTGCCTCTTCCCCATAGAAGATAAATGCAGCACGGCCGAGGTTTTTGTTTGTTTTGTTCACATATTCCCAGTGCCTAGATCTGGGCCTGGCAAAATTAGGGTGTGTATTGGTTACATCATTTCCTCTAAAGATCTGTTTTAGATCATAAAATGTATTATTTTAAAAGCAAAACAATACATTTAAAAAGTAGCATGTCTGCCCAAGACACCTGCCACACACCCACCCAGGCCTAACCAGAAGAACCCTCCATATGTATACCTACATGCACACACAGGTACATGAATGTGGATACTCATACCCAGTACATGCATGCACACTCATGCACACACCATCACCACGCTCCCAGCCCTAACCCCTTCCCCTCGTTTTACAGATCGAGAAAGTGAGACCCAGAGAGGGGCAGAGAGCAAGTGGCAGAAGCCTGGTGAAAACCCTGTTCTAAGGAGCAGCTCCACACACTGCATACCACAGCAACACACATAGACAACTTTGGAGCCCCGGAGGCCAGCAGTTTTGATTCCTCTGGCCCCAGGGCTGCCTCGGCAGGAGGGCTGGACTCACCATTCCCAAGAGGTAGTCCGGGCTGAACTGCCCCGCAGGCTCTGCCCTCCCAAGTTCACCATCTTGGAGCCAGAGGACACACAAGGACAGACTGTTGTGGGACACCAGGCTGAGCCATGACAGAGGTGACCACGGGGAGCTCTGAGATTTTAGTAACATGAAGGCATTGATGGGAAGGGGTTTGGCTGTTTGCTATTATATGTCTGTAAAAGACAGGGAGAAGCAGGATAAGAGGCTGGAGGGAGATGACGCTGGGTCATGGGAACACATATACCAGTCTGCAAGAGGACAGGAGGAAACAGAGGCGAAAAGCCCCTCTGAAACCAGCAGGACCAGCACGTGCCCTGGGGCAGGGCTTTCACCCTCGCCCTTGTTAGGCTTGATTCCTCAGCTGACAAATGGGCTAATGAGGAGTGTACGGCTGGACTGCTGTGATGAGGACTGAGGTAACGCCTGTCTGGCTCAGCTGGGGGCCCGAGGGGCATTCATATATGACACTGTCACTGAGACTGGCATCATCCTGTGGCCTCTGGCCTGTTAGATGCTTTCCTGTCCACGGGAGCTTCAGATCGGCTCTTCCGCTCTAGGGCTCCAGACCCTCCAGGAAGAACCTTCCCTAAATCTCCTGTCTCCTCCTCTCTTGCTGCTCAGAGGCTGCTCAGCTGTGCTAGCGAAGGTGGCAGTGGCAGGACCCAGTGGGCAGGATTTCTTTCTACTCGAGAGAGGGGACCAAGGTCAGTGCCAGCCAACCTGGGATGGGCTTGTTCAGAGGGCAGTGGCCCAGCTCAGCCCCTAACATGCTCTGGGACAGTGGCTGAGCCACCTCCCAGTCTGGGCCTGTTCATTACCTGCTGAATGGTAGGGAAGGTAAATGGCCTGCAGGCCAGGGGTGCTCAAACCACAGGAACTCAGCTCCAAGGAAATGAATAATGCCTGGGGGTCCCCTGGGGTGAGGGGCAGCGGCTCAGACACCCTCAGGATGACCAGCCTTGGAACAGCCCCTTTCTCCCTTTGGTCCTACAAACCCTCATATTTCCTTTCCCACTGTGGGGACCAAATCTCATTTGAGGAAAACCAAAAGGGGCCAGGGCCAGAGAAGATGACTTCTACGTGTGACTACCCACAGCTCCTGCAGCCACAGGGAGGGAGTGACCTTTGACCCTTAGCATCTGCCTCTACTTCCTCTCTTGGCGAGGGGGATCTCATTGCTGCAAGCCCACACACCTTGAGCAGAGAGTAGGAGAGGTGGCAAGGGGCAACCATCACCTAGCAATGCTTCGGAGGGCACCGCATCAGAGGCTCTGCTGTCTATCTCATCGGTATGCAGAACCCCCCAATGAGGGAGAAATCCTTGAAGCAGTTTTGCAGAGAAGAAAACGGAGTCTCAAAGTGATAGCATTTGCTCACTGTTACCAGTGACTAAGGCAAGAGACCCAGCCCTGGGCCTGGTCCAGGGTTTTCTGGAGCCAGTTTCAAACCCAGGCCTCCCATGGCTCCAGCATCATGCTCTTCTCCAGCCCCTGTCCCACTGGCTGTCCCTCCATTCCCTTGGTCTGTCCTCCCCTCCCCTGCTGGGCTGGGCTGTGAGGGGAGAAGGGAGTGAGGGGAGGAGGGACTGAGGAAACTACTGTTCTCCCCTCTCTACTTCCGGCCACTGTACAGAGGCAGCATTCACTCTCCTCCCCACCCAGACCCTCTTACCTGGTGCAGCTTGGGGGTAGCCGCCTGGGGGCGGGGGATAGCCCGGGTAGCTCATGGTAAGATCTGGAAGAGAAGAGGAAAGCATATTCAGGCTCTGCCTAAGAGCCCCTGCAGGCCTGTGGGAGCCATTTTCTCAAGGGAGCAGCCACCACTACAACCAGGACCCAGCAGGAGAAGCGGCTGCATCTGCCCTGCTTGTTGGCAGCAGTTCACTGTCTACTGCTGGCGCCTCCAGCTGGGAACAGTACCCACCAGCATACTGCCTGACTTCTGGGCCAGGGCCACACCCCTGGCCCCCCACCCACAGTGACAGAATTCACTGCCCAGGAGACTGTTTCCTTGAAAGCCCCTCTCACTGAAGCTTTGCTCCTGCCTCTGCTGATGAGGGTGCAGTGCGTCTCTGGGCCTGCTCTCAGAGCTAGAGGCACACTGCCTCATCCTCAGGGCTCCGGGTCTGTCTATTATCTTCCTGTGTCCTTATTGCCATCCCTCCAGCAACAGGGGAAGCCAGAGGCTTCCGTCTTCCTTCAGTTTCCAACCTTTGGTTCATCGGGCAAGGGAAGCTGGTAAGGTATGGAAGCTTCATTCCTAGAAGCAAGAGCCCTCAGGAGGTTCATCTGATGCAGGGTGGAGAACCAGGGAAAATGAGGCACCACCACCCTGTTTCTGCAGCGGACGCTGCAGAAGTAAGTGATTTGCAGATCTGTCAGTAAAGCAAGAAAGTGATTTACAGATCTGTCAGTAAAGGAAGAAGAGAGGCCTGGACAGGTGCCAGGTGAGACACCTGCTCTCGTGGAGTCTCTCTGAACACAGATCCCTTGGCAATGCCCCATGCCAGCTAAACTGTGAGGAGGGACACAGATCTGCTGTGACAACAGCCACATTGTGCAACCTGCCTGCTCTTGCAGTTCGCAGAGACACCCAATGGCAAATGACAGGCGGGCATGTGAGGAAACCTGAGGCTCCCTCAACAATCACACCTGCTCGTCTTGGGTGAGCGGTTTCTTTTGACACACTGGGTCTCATGCTGCAGTGCACATCACAATCACCTGATGGGATTATTAAAACAGAGCCAGCATTTGCATTCTGAACAAGTTTCCAGGTGATGTTACTGGTCCAGGGAACCCACTTTGAAGACCATTGTTCTGGCCATGCTATCCAACTACAAGATTCTAGCTGCACCTCATATTTACCTTTAAAACTGGGCATGTTAGATTTTGTTTATTTTGAGACAGGGTCTCACTCTGTCACCCAGGCTGGAGTGCAGTGGCACAGTCATGGCTCACTGCAGCCTTGACCTCCTGGGCTCAGGTAATCCTTCTGCCTTAGCCTCCTAAGGACATGTGCCACCATACCCTGCTAATTTTGGGGGGGGGCAGGGGGCAAGAGTTTATTATGTTGGCCAGGCTGGTACATGCTGGTTTTTATTTTATTTTATTTTATTTTATTTTTTATTTTTTTGAGACAGGGCCTCACTCTATAACCTAGGCTGGAGTGCAATGGCTTGCTGCAATCTCTGCTTCCTGGGTTCAAGTGATTCTCCTGCCTCAGCTTCCCAAGTAGCTGAGATTACAGGTGCCTGCCACCATGCCTGGCTAATTTTTGTATTTTTAGTAGAGACAGATTTTTACCATGTTGGCCAGGCTGGTCTCAAACTCCTGACTTCAGGTGATTTGCCTGCCTCTCAGCCTCCCAAAGTGTTAAGATTATAGGCATGAGCCACTGCACCTGGTCTATTTTTATTTTTTAGACAGGGTCTCACTCTATCACCCAGGATGGAGTGCAGTGGTATGATCTCAGCTCACTATAACCTCCGCCTCCTGGGTTCAAGCAATTCTCATGCTTCAGCCTTCTGAGTAGCTGGAATGACAGGTGGGCACAACCATGCCTGGCTAATTTTTGTATTTTTACTAGAGATGAGGTTTCACCATGTTGGCCAGACTGGTCTGAATTCCTGGCCTCAAGTGATCTGCCCACCTTGGCCTCGTACAGTGCTGGGATTGCAGGTATGAGCCACTGCACCCAGCCTACATGCTGTTTTTCAGGAAGCTAAAGAACTTCCTTAAGGTGCCACTGGTCCCCACAGAGTGGGCTTGGTTTTCAGCCCTATGGGTATGGTCATTTGTTTGGGTCAGTGGGTTCAGAGGTGACTGTAGGCAAAGCACTATGGCTTTGGAGAGAGCTGGAATTGGCTCCCTGTAGTGTGGACCAAGGACCGAGTCCGTGCACAGCTTTCAGTCTCTTGGAGCCCCTAAACTCTGTTCTGGATGAGGTGGATAAAGTCCCTGGTGGCATCACCTTCAGAGAGGGTGTGACTCATGTCCCTATGGCTGGGTGAGCTGGCTGTCAGTAAAAAGCCCTCCCCATCCTGGCCCCAGCCTGACCCTTCTGCCCAGACTCTGCCAAACCCTCAGACCTCACTGGTGGGGAGGCAACCTGGCAGATGTGAATGGCCGGTGGGCTAGGAACCTTCAGGAGGAACTGCCCCACAGGTGAGCAGGGAAAGCCAGGATGGTGTCTCTACCACCTTCCTCCCTGGAGACTCCCCTAGGCAGGACCTCTAAGCACCAAAGACACTCTCCACTCCTGGCCTACTCCCAGAGGAATGAAGCCAAAAGCCCCATCCACAGCCAGGCCAGGGAAAAAACCCAAGAAACAAAAGCTGGATACCACCCTGTTCCTTACACCAAGTAAATTCCAGCCAGGCCAAAGATTTCAATGAAAGAAGTAGCCCCAAGAACCAAAGGCCTAAAATAAAATTTCAGCATAATAAGAAACAAATTTAAAAAAATAAAGATTAAAGAAAACTTAGGGAAAAAGTTGTATTAATATAATAAGAAAAAGATCAATAACCACTAGAGAAACTGTCAAATGATGTGAACAGATCTGGCAGTTATAGAAAAGGAGCTGAAGATGTTCACCCTCACCAACGTGTAAAGGAATCACCAATTAAATATACACAGGCACAGTGGCTCATGCCTGTAATCCCAGCACTTTAGGAGAAGGTGGGTGGATCACCTGAGGTTAGGAGTTCAAGACCAGCTGGGCCAACAGGTGAAACCCTGTCTCTACTAAAAATACCAAAATTCGCTGGGTGCTGCGGCAGGTGCCTGTAATCCCAGCTACTCAGGAGGCTGAGGCAGGAGAATGGCTGGAACCTGGGAGGCAGAGGTTGCAGTGAGCCAAGATTGCATCACTGCACTCCAGCCTGGGTGACACAGTGAGACTCCATCTCAAAAAAAAATAAAAAATAAAAAAATACAGAGATGTCAAAATTTAAAATGACACACCTTTTGACCCAGCAACTCTACTTCTAGAAGTGTCTTTCCCAGACACACAACTGTGTGAAATGTCATACAGACATGAATTTTACTACAACATTATCTGTAACAACTCCTGAACTTCCACCAATGAGGCTGGTTAAATAAACCACAACAGATCCAACATACTCTGTAGCTATTTCTGAAATTAGCCAGCTCTGTATATGGAAAGATACCACCATTATCAATCAAGGTACACTACTGTACATGTCCTAAGCTAATAAAAAACTCAGAAACATACAAACTAAGTGGTTCCTATGTGTATATCTGCACACACATCCTAGTAAATGACACACAAGAAACTAGCTACCACTAGCTGTCTCTGGAGAGGAAAGTTGGGGCTAGAAAATGAGGCTCCCAGTTTAGATCTGTGCCCTCTGCCTTTCTGCCACATACATGTATTGCCCATTAAAAAACAACTTTTTAAAAAGGCCCAATTCAGGTGTGGACTTCTGAGCTCACTTGAGGCCACTCCTCTGGCCCCCAAAGTCCTGGATGCTCTTCCAAGACTAAAAGAACACACACAGGGTCCATTCAGTTCCAGGCAGACCTAGAGGGCCCGCAGGCCAGCCTTGCCGGCGCTCATGGGGCTCATTCCTGGGGTGGCTTTTAAGGGAGTTCCCAGCAGGAGTCAAAATCCACCTCCTGGCTAGGAGCTCTGCCCTGCAGGGTCCCACAAGGCAGGTTGACCCCACTGCGAGCTGCAGTCCTGCACCCCAGGTCTTTCCCTCTACTCAAGACACACTTCTAGTCCTCCCTTCTTAGAATAGCCTCATTTTCCCTACCATTCTCTGCCTGAAATAGCTTCAAGTCTGCTCCCCACTCTATTTTTTGGGGGATGGAGTTTCACTGTGTCGCCCAGGCTGGAGTGCAGTGGTGCAATCTTGGCTCACTGCAACCTCCACCTCCTGGGTGCAAGCAATTCTCCTGCTGCAGCCGCCCAAGTAGCTGGGACTACAGGCACCTGCCACCACACTGGGCTGATTTTTGTATTTTTTAGTAAAGACAGGGTTTCATCATGATGGCCAGACTGGTCTTGAACTCCTGACCTCAGGTGCTTTGCCTGCCTCAGCCTCCGAAAGTGTTGGGATTACAGGTGTGAGCCACCACACCTGGCCTGCTCCCTACTCTTCTCTCTTTGGGTTTTTCTCAGAACCAAATACCCCAGGTATGGTCTGCAGAGCACAGGGCAAGGCTGTCATCTCCCTCCAGTGGATGCTACTCCCCACCTCCCTGAACTGGTACACATGGTTTCCCAGGCCATGGAGACATCATGCGGGTTCCTGTGAAATTTCTCCCTTGGGTTCCGCCATTGCTCCAGTCTGCCGAGACCTTCTGGGATTCTGCCCAACATCAAACATTTTTCCCCTCTCTCAGCTTTGTTTTACATCCACATATGCAATAAGCATGGCATTTGTGCTCTGCCAAGTAACCACAACAAAAGGGCCAACGAGGGACACTGCAGAACTGTCACACTCAGAACTCCCCAGTTCAACATCAAACACTAAGTGCCATGTGGATGCAGGCATTTAACCAGCTCTCTCCCAACTCACTCTTCCGCCACCCAGTACACATGCACAAGTGAGTGTTCTAGCACACCTCTCTAAAGAGGGCCTGTTTACCTGCCTAATTACCCCAGGAGAAAAGCACCATGTAGTCCAGTAGCCTGGGGTGACCTTCAGGTAGATAGAGGCTCCCAGTACTGACCAGTCTCCCTGCCAGCTGTCCATGTTCTAACAGGCTAGAGGCTGCAGGATCAGCACATAGCTCTCTGACTCACAGAAGCAGCATTCTTCTCCTCCTTTTCTTTGAAAATTAAGAAATCTGTTCATGGTCCAGTCTTCTGGTAACTTTGGCCTCTGCAGTTTTTCGAAAAAGCCACCACAAGGGGCTGTCCTTGGAGGAGTCGTTCCTGGCACCCCAGGGCTGCCATATCTGGGCTTGGCAGGACTTCTAAGGCCCTCATGTCCCCTTCCTTAACCTGTCCAACCCCTACTCTCCAGGACAGAGGCAACACAGTGAACTATATATAATCCAGCAGATCTGCTCTCTCTCTCTGGCATCCATGAGAATCACACCTTCTGCACTGACAACTGCCTCTCTCCTTCTTTCCTTGCGTGGAGCAAGGGGCATGCTTCACACTGCTGGTGCAATTCTGACGGCCAGGGCAGGTCCCTGGCTCTACGCCTGCTTCTGATCATGGCCCTCTGACACAGGGACTCACTGGAGAGGGCCTCCTGCACACCGCAGGCAGCCAGCCCCCTTAGGGATTGCTTCAATTCTTAGAAACCTGTCTCTGGGGAACTTTTGGCCTCTGGTCCTGCCTCTTAGGGTAGACTGCGGCACAAACACTGCCCTTCCATCCTCACTGCGACCATCCAGCTGCAGCTGTGCACCTGATTTCATCCAGCTGCGGCCCTCTCCAGTTATATCGGTGCTTCTGGAAAACAGTCACCTATAGGACTTGCTAAAACCCAGATTTCTGGGCCCCACCTCCGGAGCCTCTGAATCAGTGTCTCTGGGGCAGGGCCCAAGAAGCTGCGTTTCCAACGGCTCCCCGGTGATGCTGCTGCTGCCCGACTTCAGGCTACACTGCCTCATCACACATGAGAATCACCTGGAGAACTCGCTAACAATGCTAGTGCCGGCCCCCATATTCTAAACCTAGGATAGGCCCAGGAGTCTGAAGTGCAAACAAGCATACATACCCCCCAATCCCAGTAATGCTGATGTAACTGGTTCTGTGGTCCACACTCTAGGAAACACCCTTTTCTTTAAGGTGTTTCTTTAAGACACTTTCTAGCTTATCGATCTCACTCTTTGATATGGTTGGATTTGTATCCCTGCCCAAATTGTAGGCTATAATTACAATACAATCAGATTGCCATCCCCAGCATTGGAGGGTGGGCCGGGTAGGAGGTGACAGAATCATGGGGGTGGATTTCCCCCTTTGGTGCTGTTCTCATGAGAGTTCTGGTGAGATCTGCTTGTTTAAAAGTGTGTAGCACCTCCTTCCTGCGCCTCTCTTCCTCCTGCTCCAGCCAGGTAAGACCTGCCTGCTGCATAACTGTAAGTTTCCTGAAGCCTCCCCAAGCATATGCCAGCATCATGTTTTCTCTTACCTGAAGAGCTCGCTAAAAATGCTGGTCCCTTGGCTCCCATATTCTGGGTGCTTCAACCTGGGATAGGCCCAGCCTGTAGAACTGTGAGCCAATTCAACCTCTTTTCTTTATAATTACCCAGTTTCATAGATTTCTTTATAGTGGTGTGAGAATGAACTAATACACTCTTCTTCACAATAGTAAGCTCTAGGGACAGGCACTATACGTAGGCATCCCCCCACCACCTGCAGTTACATGGCAGATGTACCTGACCACAATCACTTAACTTAAGCATACCCAGAACGACTCTACAGTCTAAGAAGGATGTGTGATCAGAGTTTTGAGCTAAGGAACTGTGGCCAACCTGGAGACCCATTCCTTATCTATAAGGAACATCTGAACCCCTAAGCCATTCCATGGAATGCAGACCATACAGGAAATCAAGATTCTTTGTTCTGCATTAAATGAAGGTTGCCAGGTGGAGGTGGTTAGGAAGGAGGCTGCTAAATGAAAACGCCAAACGAAATGCTTTTTACAGTCAGCAGTGATCCTTCCATCCAGCCTGTCGCCCCTGGACCGCCCAGTATGTGAGTGCCCTCAATAAGCCCTATGCCTTGTTCACTGGCTCTGGGCCTCTCAAACATGGTGCCATCCCTACTAAAGTCGACAGGAGTCTGGCATGACAGCACTGCACCAGAAGCCAGTCTCAAAGCATTCGGTGGATGCCGAAAGCACAGAGCAGCTATCTGGGGGTGCTTCTCAGGGACTGCAAAAGGGCCTGTTCCCTAAAGCTGTGTTATGTATATGTAAGTGTACCATTCAATTTCACAGCTCTAAAAGGGCACTGGCTGGAGTCCCCTAACAAGAATCTAGAAATGCTACATTGGGACAGGAGGCAAAACTGCCAGAGCAAGAAGAGTCTCACTGCCCCCACTCAGCCATCCCCTACCACAAAGGGAAGCCTTGCTGTGTCTCTACCCAACAATGCGAGGTAGAGATATGGGCTCCAGCCACCAGCAAGGCTACGCCATGCATTTGCTGGTGTCCTCCCTGACTTCAGGGACACAGAGGGAAAGGAGAGGTGGCTGGTGTCAGTGCCATGCCTGGGACTCTGGACTGTCCTCCCCAGAGGGACAGCACAGGGCTCATTTGGGAACAGAGGCTATACCAGGCTAACGCTGAGAGGCAAAGGCCTGGAAACATCATCTTGGGCCAGAAGTCACACAGCAGTGACACCCCCTGCCCCTCAGGGCCTAGCAGCAAATGAATCAGGCCTGGACTAGAGCAGATGCTTTCGTGGGGTGGTTTTCCACTGACTGTCCCCAGCCTGGTGGAAAGAATATTTTTGTATTAGTTGTTTTTAACATTAGATCTTTAACCTGTTTTCACACACACACGCACACACACACACACACACACACAAATTTATTTATTTATTTTAAAAAATACTTTCTCCATAAGGTTGCATCCATGAAGTTTAAATATATTGTTGCTATGGTTTCAATGTGTTCCCCAAAGTTCATGTGCTGTGAGCTTAATGGTTGATACAACAGTTCTGAGAGGTGGGACCTTTAAGAAGCTCTGCCTCATGAATGGATTAATGTGTTATGGAGGAAGTGGGCTCCTGACCACCAGTGGTTTGTTACAAAAGTATAACATGCTCTCTCTTTCACTCTTGTTCTCTCTCACCCATGTGATATCCTCTGCCATGTTACGAAGCACAAGAAGGCCCCTGCCAGACACAGCCTCACAATCTTCCCAGCCTTGAGAACTGTGAGCTAAATAAGCTTCTGTTGCTCATCAATTACTCAGTCTGTGATATTTTGTTAGAGCAGCACAAAATGAGCTAAGACAATAGTTTAAACCATGCAGCTCCAATAATCCCTGCTGATATATTCTTTAAAATGAAAAGATGAGGCAGGGTGCAGTGGCTCATGTCTATAATCCCAGCACTTTGGGAGGCTGAAGCAGGCAGATCATTTGAGCTCAGGAGTTGAGAGCAGCTTGGGCAACATAATGAGACCTTGTCTTTACAAAAATAAAATACAAAAATATTAGCCAGGCATCATGGCATGTGACTGTGGTCTCAGCTACTCAGGAGGCTGAAGCAGGAGAATCGTTTGAGCCTGGGAGGGGGAGGTTGCAGTGAGTCCAGATAACACCATTGCACTGCAGCCTGGGTGATGGGAGTAAAATCCTATCTCAAAAAAATAAAAAATGAATAAATAAAATGAAAGGAAGAAAAAACAAGCCATAGAATGGGAGAAAATAATTGCAAAAGATCTGATAAAGGGACTATTATCCAAAACACAAAGAACTCTCAAATCTCAACAAGAAAACCTTATGACTTAAAAAAATAGGCAAAAGACCTGAACAGGCACTTCACCAAACAAATATACAGGTGGCAAATAAGCATATGAAAAGATGATCAACATGTCATTAATACACTGCAAATGAAAACAATGAGATACCACTGTACACCTATTAGAATGGCCAAAATCCAAAACACTGATAACACCAAATGCTGGTGAGGATACAGAGCAATGGGAACTTTCATTCATCACTGGTGGGAATGTAGAATGGTACAGCCACTTTGAAAGACAGTTTGGCAGTTTCTTAGAAAACGAAAGATAGTTTTACCAATGATCCAGCAATCATGCTCTTGGTTTTTACCCAAATGAGTTGAAAACCTGCCCACACACAAAACTGGCTTACGGATATTTACAGTAGTGTTATTCAAAATTGTCAACAATTTGGAAGCACCTAAGATGTCCTTTACTAGGTACCTGATAAACTGGTACATCCAGACAATGGAATATTATTCAGTGCTAAAAAGAAATGAGCTATCAAGCCATGAAAAGACATGGATAAATGCATATTAAATGCATATGACAAAGTGAAATATGCCAATCTGAAAAAGTTACACACTATATGATTTTATCTCTGATGTTCTGGAGGAAGCAAAACTATGGTGTTGGGATTCACTCGGGGTGGTTGGCAAAATATTAGGGAAGTTATAAGATTATAATCTCAAACTTTTTGGAAGGCCAAAAGGTTTTAATGGAACAGGCTGAAGGTAGCCAGTTCTTACGTTAGAACTTTAAGTCACAGGGTAAAGGTTAGAATAATAAAAGCTTCCCCAGGTAAGTGTGTTTACCCCACATTCCTTTTTCCCTACACTAATTTGTTTGCTCATGTAAACTTTATGCTGGATGGTCCTCTCAGGGACCATCTCAGGGGGATGTCAAAGGGAAATAAAGGAAATTACCCATTAATGGTGTTTATTCTGGGCCCAGGAACCAAGACCTTTCATCATTCATAAAACCACTCTTTTAACCATGTTAATTATCCACAAGTATGTTGACTTAGAACCTCTGTTATTAAATGTATACTGAATAAATGCAAGAAAGGACAGGGAGTTGTGGCTGATTAGCAGCAATCACCCTCTGAAAGTAGTTGATGACCATCCCTAGCCCACTCGACTCATACTGTACTCTGGTGTGTATGAGTGTATTTCATTCATCTGTTGCTGAATCAGGGTCTGCAGGACAGACCTTCACAAGTCATGATCAAGGTCTTAGGTGGTGACCCCAACATGATACTCATCACAGCTGGTACCCAAACAGGGACACCGACATGATCAATGTCTCGGGTGGTGATGCCAACGTGACTGAGGTCTCACTATGGTGACAGCAAAAAGATGAGTAGTTGCCAGAGGTTGGAGGAGGAAAGAATTAACAGGTGGAGCATGGAATTGTAGGGCAGTAAAAGTATTCTGTGTGGTACTGTAATGATGGATACATGTCATTACACATTAGCCAAAACCCAGAGATAATTCAACACCGAGAGTGAACCCTAATGTAAGCTATGAACTTGGGGTGGTAGTGACATGTCAATGTTGCTTCACTGGTTGTAACAATATAACCACTGTAGTGGGGGTGCGTGTGGGGGGGAGGGGGAACAGGGAAACTCTGCAGTTTCCACTTAATTTTGCTGTAAATCTATAACTGCTCTAAAAACTAAATTTTATTAAAAAAATAAAAGGAATACAAGCACACTGTAGGGAAATTCAAATGGAACAGAAACATACAAAATGAAAAGTCATTCTTCCCTCTATCCTTGTACACAAAGGTCATCACCAACCAGTTTCCGACGAATAGTTCAAGACACATAAATACACACACAGAAATGTATAATACATGTGTATATATAGATTTACATAAAACATAAATGTATATGCATATGTGTTTAGCTTATATATGCTCAGATATATGTATAATTTTTTTTTGCTTTAATTTCTGGTATACATGTGCAGAACATGCATGTTTGTTACACAGGTATACATGTGCCATGGTAGTTTACTGCACCTACCAACCTGTTATCTAGGTTTTGAACCCTGCATGCATTAGGTATTTGTCCTAATGCTCTCCCTCCCCTTCTCCTCCACCCCCCATATATGTACAACTTTTTTAAAGAGGAAAGAAACTGATGCATCTGCAAACTCTTCAGCAGAAAGCTCAGCTCTGGTTAAGTAATGGCTCATGTGATAACGTGATATAAGAAATACATATCTGGCAGTCTTGTGGGACTGAGCCCTTTAACCTACCAGGTCTGCGGTGAGTGACCCCAGTTAGGGTCAGAATTGAGCTGCACTACAGACACCCAGTTGGCGTCAGAGAATTGGTCAGTGTGGGGGAAAAAAACCACACATCTGGCCGAGGGTGAAGTACTGAGAGTTTTGCTTGGAGTTTTCCTTCTCAGTTCACATTCTGACCTGATGCCCCTCCTGGCATACACTGGGGAAATGGAGACTGAGCTGGTCTGAGTGGCTCACAACCTCCACACACTGCCATGTGAGCAGCTGGGCACTTATGCGTCCCAGGTCACTGGGCAGGAGAGAGGGAGGCGACAGCCCACAGCAAGGTGCCAACAAGAGCCTGGAGCCCAGAACTCAAGTTGGAAGGTCCAAGACAAGGCAGAAACATCTACTACGGTAGCCCTGTTCTAAGGATCTCAGCCAGTGACCTGAGGCCTCCTTTCCAGAACTCACTTGTCCCATAGGCAAAACCAGGGGCATCCCTTTTTGAAGTCCTTCCTTCCTCTGGGATCTTAGGATTTCTGAAGGGGGCCTCTTTCAGCTTTCACCCCAAATCCTAGACTTACAGACTCACAAAATGTCCACATTGGAAGGGATCATGTTCTAACTCCCTCGGTTTTGTGGCTAAAATACACTAGGGACATAGCTTGCTCAAATCACACACGTGTGGCAGAGAGGGTCTGTGATAGAGCTTGGCCTGCTGGCAGCTGATGACAACACCTGACACCCCTCATAGTGCTGCATCGCAAAATGTGTGCTGCTTCCATCCAAGCTGGACTGGCTTCACTGGTGGTTCCAGTGGGTCCTTCCCTTGGCCACCTACTTGAAGACCCCTCCTCCAAGGGCAAAAGGAGACAGTGCAATAAGCATGCTTTTAAAAAGAGTCTTCCAAGGCCATTCCTCATGGCCAGAGGTTCCAGAAACCCTCCGTGCATCAGCTCACAGTTCCTCATAGCTATGATGATGAGGAAAAGCAGACAGAGCCCAAACTCTGCCCCACATACCCCTTCAGTGGCAGGAGCTGGCACCAGCAGACCATGTACCTAACTGTGGCTGTGGAATTCCATGGAGTGAGCCACAATATTAATCTATCCATTAACCACAGAGGCACTGATTAATAATGGTCGACTTTTTTCACAACATTTTGTTATGGAGCACATATACAAAACAGAACAATTTAATAAACCATCATCCCTCAGCTTCAACAATTATCAACTTAAGACCCATCTTGATTCATCCCACAACCCACTCACTCCCCTGTATTGTTTTTAAGCAAATCCCAGACATCATATATTATTTCACATGTAACTGTTCATATTTCTAAATATTAGGAACTTTAATATAAATACATACAGATGCTCCTTGACTGAGGGTGGGGTTACATCCCAATAAACTCCTCATGAGTTGAAAATGCATTTCATGCTGGCAACACAGCAGCCCCAACTTATGATGGTTTTACTTAACCATTTTTCAACTTTGCGATGGTGTAAGAGTGGCACATACTCAATTAAAACCACAGCCTCATTGTAACCCCATCGTAAGTGGAGGAGCTGGTTATATCCTGATAAGCCCTTCTTAAAGTGATGTAACCCCATCATAAAGTTGAAAAAGTGTGAGTCAGGGACCGTGTGTGTGTGTGTGTGTGTGTGTGTGTGTGTGTGTGTGTTTGTGAGAGAGAGAGAATGAATATGTGTGTATGTGTGTGTGTGTGCTTATATAACTACAATAGAGCTGGGACTCTAAGCTGGAATCAGGCTTCTATACCAGCAAAGGACTCAGGTGCGGATTCACATTAGGAAGAGTGCAAGCTTGGAATGCTTGAGAGGGCCCCTGTCAATACAAGACGGCCAGAAAACCAACTTCCCCAGGATTCTTCCAGGACCATTGAGCTCTACCTAGTGATGATGCTGCCAACCATCTGTGAATGTTATTTTCCAAAGTCCAAAATGCAGACCACAGCCTTGCTCACCACTGTTACCGCAGCGTCTGGCTAAATGTGCACACTATAAACGCAGCTTGAGTGAAAGAATGGAGGGAGTTCTGGGGCCTGGCCCGCTTTGCCAGTTAGTCCATTTTCTCCTTTATAACCTCTTCCTTCATTGGCTCCTAAGATCATTTAAGTATCAAATAGGATGTGTTTGGCCTGCAGGGCAAGGAACCTCATAATGAACACACAAATCTAAGGCTCTCAGCAAGAACATCACATTCCCACAATATGCAATTGGCCTTCTGCAGAGCAGGACCCACGTGGTATGTGACAGTCAACCCTGATGACAGCTGAACGGCTACAAGTATCCAGATCATACACACTCCAAACCTTTCCTCCAGGCAAACCTTTCCTCCAGGTCTGTTCATTTGCACTATTAAGTCCATTTGCTTCTGAACACCTACCATCTACGGCCCCCAAAGTCTTGCTCAGATCTAACCGGGATGCCCAGGCCCAGCTCAGCCTCACCTAGAAGCAAGCAGTGTGATGTGCAGCTCAGTGCTGCCCAGAATGTGTTCTCTGACACCAGCTTAATATCTTGCAAGTTGTGAAGTTAGCAGGTATGTAGTTTAAGGAGAGAGTGAGACAGACAAGAGCAAGAGATTCATTGCTCAAAAAGTTTAGAAAATGCTGACTTCTACATATAGTTATATACCGCAACTACACATCCCCTTTCTAGGAAACTGCCAATTTGCAATAGTAATAAAAGCTCTGATAAATCCTGTAACAAAGAAGCCTGCTTAACTCTATTCTCAAATTATAATTAGGCCATCATAATAGTTACCATTTACTGAATGCTTTTCATGTGCCAGGCACTGTGTTAAGTGCTTCACATGCAATCGAACTTTACAACAACCCTGAGACAAATACTAAAATTATCCTTCTCATAACAGAAACGAAGACTGAGGGACAGCGAAGCTGTGTAACTCACCCAAGATTATAGCTACTGAATGGCTGAGCCAGGCAGACGGCCTCCAAAGCCCAGGACTTTACCACGATACTATACTACCTCACAGAGTCCACTGGCCCCAGGAACTAGTATTTTAAGGACAGAGCTTTAGAAACACTGGTGATGAAACAGCATAAAATGAGGAATCAGGATACCTGCCTTCTACGTCCAGTTTCACTGTATGATCTCAGGTACTTCATTAAAGGCAGTGGGGGACGGTGAGAAGAACATGGACTCTGAAGCCAGACTACCCAGGTTCACATCCCAGTCCTGCTCCCTGTCAGCTATGTGATCTTGACAGTTTACATGACCTTTCTGCACCTCAGTTTTCCCCATCTGTAAAATGGGGATAGTAACAGTTTAATTCCAAGTTTGTCCTCATTATATCATGTAACATATCATGATATCCTGTTTCTCCAAAACAAAATAAGAAAGAGAAGACCCTGGGCCATTTGATAACTCAAGGGGGAAGGGAGGGGTGGGAGAGAAACACAGAACTGGGGAGGGCCAGGGCAGTGTGAAGGGTGGAGGATGGGAGTGAGGAGCACACTGGCATTGCTGTGTTGGGTTTTCCAGCCTCCCAATAGAGAAAGTACCAACAGGAAATTGGCACTATTTTCTTTCCATCCCCTCCACATGCCTGGGTGTCTGGGGGCCTGCTCCAAGCTCAGGAGTAGAGGGGGCAGCAGAGGCAAGACTGATAGTGGAGGGAGGCCACAGGGCAGGGGGATCTGAAAGACCCTCAGAGAAGAAACCTGCCTGGGAGAGGGACCTGCAGAAGCAGGGCCTCGGCCTGCACAGTCTCCAATCCTGCGGGCACTGGAGCCCATTCTCAGGACCTTCACTGCAGCATGGCACAGACAGCGCCATCTTCTCTCCCCCGCCTGCCTTTCCACACCAGGTCCCTGGTGCTGAGAAGGGGCAGGGGCGAGTGAGGAGGAACTCCCTTTCCATACGAGGAAGGCTGAGAGCACATAGCATGACACACAGGTCTCTCCGTCACACTCCACAGCAGGCTTCCCTGCAAGCCGGGCCACTCCTCTTTGTGGGCAGAGTCCCCTCGGAGGCCTGGCCACACCGAACAGGCTCACAGAAGAGCCAACACTTGGTCAAATGCCAAGTCTAGTTCAAAATTTCTAAGGAGTGGAAAGTGGGCAGCAGAGGAAGGTGACAGAGACACAGCATTAATATGTGGCTGCCATGCAGGCCAGGCTGTGATGGGCACTCAGGTCCTGGAGGACACTGAGATTTCTTGTAACAGACACAGTGACAGTGACAGGAAAAGCCCCCATCGAAGTCCTGACTCCAAAGTGTAGACAGGACCTGCTGTAGTTTGAATGCTTCTATCTCCCTCAAATTCGTTATTGAGATCCCAACTCCAAATGATGACATTTGGAGGTGGGGCCTCTGGAAGGTTATGAGGTTGGAGCCCTCGTGAATGGGATTCACACCCTTATAAAACAGAGCCCAGAGAGCTCAACCCTTTCCACCATGTGGGGACACAGGGAGAAGGTGCTAGCCTATTTGTGAACCAGAAAGTGGGCCCTCACCAGACACTGAGTCTGCTGGCACCTACATTTTCAACTTCCAGCCTCCTGAACTGTGAGCAGTATGTTTCTGTTGTTTAGAAGCCACCCGGTCTATGATATTTTATTACAGCAGCCTGAACAGATTTAGACAGAACCTAAGGACGTACACACACACACACACACACACACACACACACACACACACTCACTCTCAAAAAGGGAAACAGTGGGTTGTGTTTGTAAGTGCAGGTGGCGGGGAGGGAACACAGGTCTCGGTCTTTGCTCACTTCCACATGGGGAAGCCACCCCCAGTTACACCAACTGAGCAGAGGAGCTTCTCCCAAGGTCTGCCTAGGAGGGACCAGCACAACAATGGAAGTGAGCTGATGTCATTCAGGCTCAAGCACCAGGGTGGCACTGTCTAAAAAGTAACTCTTTTTTACTGTCTAAAAGGTAACTCTTCCAGCAGCTCTGCCAGGAAAAAGCAACAGGAACTCCTTCTCTAAACCCCTCCCTCAAAAAAAAAAAAAAAACAACCCTCCCTCATCTTGCAATGGGAAGGGGGAGCTGAGCGGCTCACCCAGGACACGCAGCCCGAGCCTCACTGACACTGACTTTCACAATGTCTACCCCTAGATTCTCGGCAGGTCCTTCTAATCACCGCCCCCAATCACCCTTTCTCTCACACTCTAGACCAGCTCCCCCATCTTTTCACAGCCCACAATCCCCCATCAGGAGCCGCAAACATCACAGGACAGTCACAAGAGATTTCTCAATTCTGCTGCATGAGTTTTACCACAGCCCACACAGCTCTGATATCATCTTCTATCACTGCTGCTGGGCCACCGGGGTGGTACACAGGTTTGGAGTCCAGTGACAATGATTCCATTCTAGCTCTTCCTCTTGTTAGCTGTGTGACACCAGATATACAGATTGACCTCTCTGAGCCTTTTTCCTCACCTGTAAAATGAGAAAAAATGATCCATCTCATTATACAGCTGTAAGAATGTAGTATTGATTATATATATATATACACACACACACAGAGAGAGAGAGAGAGAGAGAGTGAGTGAGAGAGAGAGAGAAAGCTCTCCAACAGGTATTAGCATGCAGCAGGTGCTCAGTTAATTTTAACTTACTCCCTAGGAGGCATTCGCCTGGAGCCAAGGTCTGGTTCCTAACACCACTGCTTGCTGTGTGACCCTCCCTGGGCAACTTAACCTCTCTGAGTCTCAATGCTGTCTGCAAAGATGTGATGTGCCCCACTTACCCTGGATTATTATGAGGACTAAAAGTAAAAGAACAGGAACGTGCTTTGTAAAGCCTGACACAGTTATCTTCACTCTGTGGCCAACACACCTAGTGTTGGTCTCTCCCGAGTGGCCAAAGAGGCCAGGCTCTGACATTCGGAGAGGGAGAAAAGGGTCATGGATTCTGGGCAGACACTAACCTGGCCGGGTGTCAGGCTCCTGCCTCCCAGGGGATCAGCCCAGCCCACACAGTGAGGGGAGTGTCCAGCCAACACTTAAGGTCCCGGGGCCTCAGGACAGTGCTGGTAAGGGAAGGGTACAGGGAGGGTTTAGAGCCTGAAACTCAGCTACCATCAGCTTCCTTGATTAGGTCCCTCAAAGATATCCCGGAACCTGTGAATGCGTTACTTTACATGGCAAAAGGGAGTGTCCTGATATGATTAAGGTTACCCGCCATGAGATGGGGAGACTAGCCTAGATTATTCAGGTGGGCCCAATCCAGTGGGAAAGGTCTTTCAAAGCAGAGAGGCTTTATGGCTGGGTTAAAGAGGAAAAGGAAGAATAAGCAGGAGAGAACTGAAGCATGAGAGGGATTCCACCCACTGAGGAAAGGAGCCAAGCGCCAAGGAACGCAGATGGCCACTAAAGCTGGAAAGGACAAGGAAGCTTCCACCTCTAGGAACTCCAGACACACAACCCTGCCAACACCTTGATCTTAGCAACATAGATCCAAGAGACCATGAGATAAAACTGTTAAGATAAAAAAGGCAGGTGGTAAAATAGTGCAGCCACTATGGAAAACAGTATGGAGATTCCTCAAAAAATTAAACATAGAACTACCATATGATCCAGCAATCTCACTCATGGGCATAAAGGCTGAGTACCCCTCATTCAAAATGTGTGGGATCAGCAGCCTTTCAGATATTCTGGTCTTCAGACCAGACGATTTCAGATTTTGGAATACTGGCATTACACTTACCACTGTGCATCCAAAATCCAAAATCCAAAATGCTTCGATGAGCGCTTCCTTTAAGCGTAATGTTGCAGCTCAAAAAGTTTCAGATTTTGGAACATTTCAGATTTGGGATAGTCAACCTATATACCCAAAGGAAATGAAAGCAGGGACTCCAATAGACATCTGTACACCCATGTTCACAGCAGCCTCATTCACAGTACTGAAAAGGTGAAAACAACCCAAGCGCCCATCGATGGATGAATGGATAAATGAAACAAGGTCTCCACGTAAAAACAGAGTATCATTCAGCCTCAAAACGGAAGAAAGCTCTGACATATGCTACAACATGGGTGAATTTGAATATGTTATGCTAAAGGAAACAAGCCAGGCACAAAAGAACAAATACTTCTGATTCCGCTTATACGAAGTCTCCAAGTAGTGAAATTCCTAAGGACAGAAGGTAGACTGCTGTTGCCAGGGCTCGGGTAAGAGGGAATGGGGAGTTTACATTTCATGAGTACACAGTCAGTTTGGGAAGACGAGAACCTTGTGGAGATGCATGGTAATGACTGTTGTGTAACAAAGAGAACGTATTTTAACACCACTGAACTGCACACCTGACAGTGGGTAAAATGGTAAATTTTATGTTGTGTGTGTATATATATACACGTGTGTGTGTGTGTGTGTGTGTGTGTGTGTGCGTATTTGAGATGGAGTCTCGCTCTGTTGCCCAGGCTGGAGTGCAGTGGCATGATCTCGGCTCACTGCAACCTCTGTCTCCCGGCTTCAAGCAATTCCCTGCCTCCGCCTCCTGAGTAGCTGGGATTATAGGTGCCTGTCACCATGCCGGGCTAATTTTTTGTATTTTTAGTAGAGACAGGGTTTCACCATGCTGGCCAGGCTGGTCTCGAACTCCTGACCTCGGATGATCCGCCTGCCTTGGCCTCCCAAAGTGCTGAGATTACAGGTGTGAGTCACTGCACACGGCTCTGTGTATATTTTTACCACCAAAAAAAGTTGCATGGTTTTAAGCACAAGTTTGTAGTAATTTGTTACAGCAGAAATTGAAAACTAATATACTGTACACAATGCAATGAGGAGGAGTTGGGGAGATGACGGTCAAAGGTACAAAATCTCAAGCCGGGCACAATGGTGTAGTGTATAGTCCCAGCCAGTTAAGAGGCTGAGGCAGGAGGACTGCTTGAGCCCAGGGGTTTGAGGCTGCAGTGGGCCTTGATTGCACCATGAATAGCCACTGCACTCCAGCCCAGACAACAAGCAAGACCCTGTCTCAAAAAAAAAAAACCCTCAGTTAAAGAGGAGAAATATGTTTTTTCCTTTGTACAGCATGATAAATAAATATAGTTAATAATAGAGTACTACACATCTCAAAATTGCTAAGAGAACAAACTTTAAACTTTCTCACCACAAAAAAATAAGCATTTGAAGTGACAGATATATTAACTAGTTTGCTTTAATTACCTCACATTGTATTCATAGATTATAACATCACTTTGTACTCCATAAATTTACATAATTAGAAATGTTAATTTACAATAAAAAATGTTTAAAGAAAACTATTGGCTAGGCACGGGGGCTCATCCCTGTAACTCTAGCACTTTGAGAGGCCGAGGTGGGTGGATTGCAAGAGGCCAGGAGTTTGAGACCAGCCCGGGCAACATAGTGAGACCGTGTCTCTACTAAAAACACAGAATTAGCTGGGCCTGGTGGCAGATACCTGTAGTCCCAGCTACTCAGGAAGCTGAGGCAGGAGAATCACTCGAACCTGGGAGGCAGAGGTTGCAGTGAGCCGAGATCATGCCATTGCACTCCAGCCTGGGCAAAAAGAGCAAACTTCTGTCTCAAAAAATAAAAATAGAAACACAAAAATTAGGCAGGCGTGGTGGCACACACCTGTAATCTCCACTACTCAGGAATTGCTTTGGACCCAGGAGGCGGAGGTTGCAGTGAGCCAAGATTGTGCCACTGCACTTCAGCCTGGGCAACAGAGCGATACTATGTCTCAAAAAAAAAACCTTACAGAAAACTAATATATACAGTGACTATTCCTTCTCTCTTTCCCTCCACATTCTTCTATGGCACCTTTCTAAAGGTCTCTGCCCTCTTTACATAAGAGCTCTGTGAACATGTCTACCTAACTCAGCAAGATTTCTTCGACAAGGAAAGCATTAAACCACCAAGACTACAAAAAAAAAAAAACCCTTTCCAACAATGGAAGCAGGGACCAAGTGCTTGTCTCTCCCACATGTTGGCAATGGGGCTTGGCACAGGTGTATTAACTTGAATTACCAGTCAACATGAGACAACAGGGGACTCGGGCTTCCACGTGGCCAGGCTACACACTCCCTGTCATTTGCCCAGTCGTAATTGCACAGGCAGGGTCATCACATCCCATCAGCCAGGACCTCACGATCGAATGCCAGAGGTCAGTTCAGTACCTCAGAGATGACTCAGTTCATTTCTACCCACTCCACCTCACCCCATTTCAAAATGAGAGGAGAACATGGCACACCAAGGTGATACAGCAAGACTCTTAAGAGGGCTGGTGCCAAATCCCCCTGACCCCTACTCCCAGGCCTCATCAGGCCTGGGATGAGATGAGGATGCCCCTACTCTCATCATCCCCAGGTCAGGGTAGGTACAGAGGCTTATTGTCCTCAGAGCCATTGGCAGACTCAGACCCAGTTCTCTAGGATGTTTCCTTTTATTCCATGGGGAGGGGAGCTGCCCATGGGAGTTCAAGCCTGGGTTGCTGCTTCTTGCCTGAGGCAATAGCAGGCACAGTGGGAAGACCAAGGCTGAAAAGAGATTAATTTTGCAATATTGGGGAATGACTGCCTTCCAAGAAACACACCAAAGGTGGAAGAGATGTGATAAAATTCTGCCCCTCCTATACATTTCACCTATGCACGCTAATCAGATTTGTATGTGCTCCCTCTTCATATAAACAGACAGCAAAGGGTCACAGAACATCTGAGGAAGGCTCTACCAAGAAAGGGAGACACCAAAACAGAAGAAAAGGAACCAAAGACACAGACGATGAGAAGTAGAGGACAAAAATATAATCAATATCCTCAGAGAAATATTTATAGCCATAAAACAAAAAGATCAGCAAAGCAATCATTGCGAAATTTGAGAGCACAAGAGGCAAAGAAAAGATACTAAAACTTCAGAAAAGAAGAAACAAGGGTCCTTTTTGGGGGGAACCGTAAGGACACTGGACTTCAACAGTCACACTGGAAACTACAAGACAACAAAATAATGTGTTCAGTGTTCAGAAAGGAAATTATTTTCAGATTATAATTCTATACCCAGCTAAATTATCTACTACTGAGAGGATGGAACGGAGATATTTGGAGGCATGCAAAGCTTCAAAAACCAAAAACAAAAACCTACCTCCCGTGCACTTTTCTTAGGAACTTTTGGACAATTTCAGCAAAATGAGAACATAAGTAAGGAGAATAAAGAAAATAAAATATATAGGATCTAGGAACGGGTATCTAACACAGAAGACTGTAAAAAGTAGTCCCCAGATTATAGTTGAGCAGCAGGCCTGGGGAGCAACTAGACCAGTTTGGAACAATAGATTAAACAGAAAATCAGGCCCCAAAATGGGGAAAGCATCCACTTGAGGAATAAAGGGACATGAAAGACTGTACTCCTAAATGTGTGACCACAGCACATTACTGGCACAGCATCAAACAATATAATTTATGGTCACAATAATGCAGACA